TGCCATTGGTTCGGGATTGAATAACATGGCCAGATTAACTGATAAAGAAAAGATATTTTGTATACTTATTCTCACATATATAAGCTTTAATTTGATATATATTAAGTTGATATATCACGGGTTTAAACATATTTAAATTAATTGTCAAAGTGTTCAAACCTAATACTTGTGAACCTGTAATTGATTTGAAACTAAAAAATAAGTTTTTAATTGAGTTTTTAATTTATATTTCATTATCGGATCGTGCGATGGCTACCGGGCCTCATTCATGACATCCATTTCCCGGCCATACAGTCGACAGTCGAGTTCGCCCAAAGAGGTCACGCATGAGGGGTCGGCAGCCAAACGGACAGCCCGTCCGGCGCCGGTAGAGTCGCAGTCATTCGTGATGAACCTGTTTTGCGGCGACGGGAAAGTCCAGCACCAGTTCCCGTACCCGCAGGTGTTGACCCCGGAGGACATACAGCTCGTTGACATGGTTACCGAACCGCTGACCAAGAAGTGGGTGCCGGAGGACGCCCTCCGGTTCGAGGCGAACGAGAAATACGATGACACCCTCTGGGATCTGCTCAGAGAGATGGGCAGCTTTGGCATACAGGTGCCGCCCGAGTACGGGGGCATCGGGTGTAATAACACACAGTACGCCCGGTTGGGTGAACTCATGGGTCGGTACGACCTGAGTCTGGGGGTCGTGTTGGGCGCCCACCAGTCCATTGGCTTCAAAGGCATACTACTGTTCGGTACGGACGAGCAAAAAGCGAAGTTTTTGCCCGATTTGGCGGCCGGTAAACGAGTCGCCTGTTTCTGTCTGACGGAGCCCTCGGCCGGTATGTATGTCCTGAACCGCTGTGTTTAGGTTTTGGTGAACTCCAGGTGCACTTATGAACAGTACAGTACCATCTGTTTTGTTTTATAGCAATTTATTGAATGCTATTGTGTTTTGGACTACTGTTGTGTACGTATTGATAGTCAATTCAAACTCCCTGTCCACTGAATTGTATGTACGGTAATATATCATAGTTAATGCACTGGTAATGGTGTTCCGCATAGGAGGCGTTCCTCTACTATGTGGGCATAAGTACTTAGAGTTCACTAAAACTAATGGTTAATAATAAAACTCATTAAGAGTTTTAGTGTAAAACCAATTGATTTCACATTAATTATGTGTTTATTAATGTATTATATCTGATCGCATGGTGTGGTACACGATCTCTGCAACTGGATTCTTGTGGCGATCGATGACAACGGCTGACCATAGGATCGGACGCCTCGGGCATCAAAACAAAGGCCGAACTCTCGTCGGACGGCAAACACTATGTACTGAACGGCTCGAAGATCTGGATCTCCAACGGCGGGATCGCCGACGTGTTCACCGTATTCGCCAAAACGCCGGTGCGATCCGAGACTACCGGTGAGCTCAAGGATAAGGTGACGGCGTTTATCGTGGAGAGAGGGCCGGGACTCACGTCCGGTCCGCCCAACAAGAAAATGGGTATAAAGGCGTCCAATACTACGGAAGTGTTCTTCGATAACGTGAAGGTGCCGGTGGACAACGTGTTGGGACAGGTGGGCGATGGGTTTAAGGTGGCCATGAATATACTCAACAACGGCCGGTTCGGTATGGCAGGTGCTCTCACGGGTATGTATGGCTGTGTCGGTGCTCTCGTGTCTTAGTACTGGTGTTTGCGATTTGATTGAGTTTTTAGTGTTTAATATTAATTCGTGTGAGAAGTTTGTAGGAGTAGTGAAACCTCCCGTTCCCCCTTATACTTTAACTACTGTACCTAATTATGAGTAATCTAATTTCCCTTACCCTTAGAAATGTAAGCTAATTATAACTAACGTTATTAGACAGCACCTGTACTAATGACTATTTGTTGTAATTGTGTTCATTGATTGTAATGCTATGATGTCTGCATCCCTTACCTACAGGTGCGATGAGGACGTGTATCACTGCGGCCACAGATCACGCCAACACCCGAACCCAATTCGGTAATAAGCTGTCGACCTATGGGGACATACAGGAGAAGATCGCACACATGTCTGTCCGCCACTACGTCACCGAATCCATGGCCTATATGTTGAGGTCTGTCCACTCGCTAACCCTAAGCCCTAACCCAAACCCATAGCCCTATACTCACAACTAAACCCTTATTTATTAATAATTTTAAAACTAATGCAATGTTTGTGTGGTTTTCAGTGGTGTTATGGATAAGGGGTTTACGGACTACCAGTTGGAGGCGGCCATTAGCAAGGTATACGCCTCGGAGGCGGCCTGGTATGTGTGCGACGAGTCCATACAAATACTGGGAGGCATGGGGTATATGCGGGAGACGGGACTCGAGAAGTTTTTGCGAGACATCCGTATATTCCGTATATTCGAGGGAACCAACGATATTCTCCGGCTATTCGTGTCCCTCACCGGTCAGTAGTGGTGTTGACATACAGTTCCCACTCGTGTTTGTTGTGTCAAACGTATGGACACCGTGTTTGGCCAGTAATATAATGACTGGTAGGGCTCGGGTCACACAAACCCCTCTACCATTAGTTTAGTTAAAAGTTTTCAAAACTTTGTAATAATGAGTGAATACTGTGTCCACACGTATGGCGCGAGTGCTGTAAACGTACAGTAAATCTATACATAATTATGATTAATTCCGATATCATCTAACACTGCATACCTGTGCGGCACCCGTAGGTCTGCAGTACGCGGGCGGACACCTGAAGGAACTCCAGAGGGCGATGCAGAACCCGGTGGCCAACTTGGGTATGATCTTTGGTGAGGGCACCAAACGGTTCGCCCGATCGGTGGGCCTGTCGAGTGGGCCCTCCCTCCAGGAGTACGTACACCCGCAGCTCAGGGATGAGGCGGCGCTGGTATCCAAAGGCATACAGAACTTCGGGGCGTCTGTGGAGCACCTGTTGATGAAATACAATAAGAATATAATTCACGAACAAATGCTTTTGAGACGACTGGCCGACGCCGCCATTGATATCTACGCGATGGTTGTGGTGCTGTCGAGGGCTACCCGTGCCCTCAACGCCAACCTCAACAGCGCCGGCATCGAGAAGAATATCGCGAATCTGTTCTGTCATGAGGTATGCCTCGAGTCTCTCTCTCTCTCTCTCACGCAATGTCTCTCTCATAGGCTTCGAAGCGGATCGTCGATAGTCTGAGTGGTCTTCGGGCGACACAACGGCTGAAGAACTACTCGACTATGAAGTCCATCGCAGAGGAGGTGCTCTCCAACGGGGGTGTCGTTCAGAACCACCCCCTCGACTGAACCCACACTCGCTCTCATATATTGTTTTATTTTTAAATTACTTTTTCTTTTATTTATTTCTGAAACTATTTTCTACGGAAAACATTAACTGTTAAACAAAATCATGTCTCCAATGGT